GCAAGCAAGGTATTTTCTATTGTTTTCCTACTGCCACCAAAAAAGTACTCCAGAGTGTTGTTCAGCATGGGGGTGAGTAGAAAATGAAGGCTAATCATGTTTTGGGTGTACTATTCCTTTAACTTTATTTAGTACAAAGAGTTAAAGCAGTATGCCATTAAAGATAAAAATACAACAGACAATACAAAAAGAGTGTATATAGTACAAAAAAGCATAAAAAAATAAAAAAGTTATATCCTGGTATATGTTTCCCTTAGATATAAAAATATCTGCAAAGTAGAGAGGTAAGGAAAGACTACATAGCAGCTGACTTGGATTATTGCACTTGCACTGTAGAAATGTACTGACCTTATAAATAACTGAAAATTAAACAGACTAAACAGTACTTGACTTGGATTATTGCACTCCAGAGATGCACTGACCTTATAAATAAGTAAAAAAAATTACACATGCTACACAGTATTTGGCATGTGTTATTGCACAGTAAGAGAGAAGAATATTGCACATTAGTGACAATTGGTAAGGTTTTGCATAAGATGTCCAAGGAGGGGATGCTGACCCTTATCCTTCTTTCTATCACCTCCTCCTTCCCCCAAATGAGGAGTTGCTCAGCTTGATGGCTTGAGGAACAAAGGACTAGAGCAGTCTGTTGGTCCTGCATTTGGGGTGGAGCAATCTCCCAGTGATCAGGCTCCTCTGAGTGGTGAAGACGGTGTGCAGAGGGTGGCTGGCATTGTTCATAATGTCCAGCAGTTTGTTAAGTGTCCTTGTCTCTGCCACCGTCCCCAGAGGGTCCAGCTTTATGCCAATCACAGAGCTGGCCTGCCTCACCAGTTTGTCCAGTCTGGAAGTGTCTCTTGGATGTGCTGCTCCCCCAGCAAACCACAATGTAGAAGAGGACACTGGCAACCACAGACCGGTAGAACATCTCCAACAAATGGAATTACAAATGGAAGTTCATTGAACAATCTAAAAATGAGAAGTCCAGTTTAATCAAACACTCAGGACCACTGACATTCAGAAGATCAAAACAACAGAAGGTAAAGTAATGTAGTTGAGATTAGGCCGCTATGGGTTTGAAAGATGATTGCTGTTGGGCCACAAACCATGATGATAATTTTGTACATTGAGAACCAAGGTCCATGTCTCATTTTAACATCTTCACTGGAGCAGAGGGTGCTCCACAGTGCTGCTACCCTCTCAAAGCTTATGCAACACTGCTGCAGGAGTATAACCAGCCCTTACTGACACTGGAGAGGCATGCATCCTCATCCTTCCTGCTGGACTGCTTCAAGCTACAGAGAGCTGAAAGGGTGACTAATGAGTGATTATGTCTGCCCCATCCTCCCCTCTCCAACACCAACCCACATTAATCTGGATCCTTTAAGAACTTTCCAGACGTAGGCCTGTGCTCCCGTCGCCACCACTACAGCACTGCATCTTACAGCTGCATACCCAAACACAAGGGCTTCTTCTGAGCTTTCAATTACTCCACAGTGAGCCTGCCGTGCTAAGGTCTGGCACAGTTAGGGAGAGATTGTAGTTAAACAATATGTTTTTGATGATTCTGATCAATTCATGTGTTTAATGATTTTGAGCTATTTTCTTTATAAGCTAAAACAAGCTTTACTTCACTAAAGGGCTTAAATTCTGATTTGTTAGCGTTCATGTGTTTTCTCATATGCTCATTATATTTTGATTATGAAATTTTGACCAAAAGTCATTCTATGTAGTCCTCATGTCTGTTCACTGCTGGCTATTTCAAAGAGGGGAAAGATTAATTTAACTAAAGGTCATTGGTTCCTGATTAAGCAAATAATTTAATAAAACATTAATTGGCCAAATAATGTTTTATTCACCTCATGGATTGATTGAAAAAAGTCAAAATGTTCTAAGTTACTGAAAAGCTAATTTGATCACATCCCAGATTCTTCAAGATAAACTTTGGTTTTCAAACACAAAATCTAACTTTGATGTGGTTTTCAACTATGTTTTGCTTCCTATTTGTACATAGTAGCTTAGTTTAGTTGAGGTTCACAAGTTTTTAGTCAAGAGCGTTTAACTGAAATATATTTGACTTGGAGCTGAATGATTTTTATTGTTAAACTTTTATAATTTGAAAAGAAGTTGTTGTGAATTTATTCCACCTATGTGCAGAATTATCTGTTTGACCATGAATTGAGGTCAATTCACACTTTTGTTTGTTGTCCTAACACACAGCCAGTGGGGCGTGTGTTTATAAAAATATTTGACAGTGCAAATAACTTCTGATTAAGTAAGATATTTACTACCGCTACCGGGGGTGGATAATAAATATATAAAAGTTGCACAACAGTGGCGAGGATCAAAACACATCCTGCTGGAGAGGTGATCAGGTTTTCCTCAAAATGTTTGTCAGATATTGAAAGAGTCCATGCACCAAATCAGTATTATTACAGCTGTAATGGCATCACAGTATGGCTATAAAAAGGATTGACTCAAAGGAGCAAAATGCAGATGAATTATCACTATTTTCATATTTCTATTTGTAAAACATTTCCCATTTTGTGTCAATTACTTTTAATTCTCACTAAAAGGCTGGAGTTGTTAGAATCCTTCTCCCTTGCCAATGAAGAATTTGCTTGCACCATTTGTGTTAATATTGACATGCAACAAAACAAATTAGTGTCTCAATAGAAAGCCACCAAAGAAAAATAAATAGCAAAGGAAAAATAACTAAAGACAAATATTTTATTTTCTTTTAAATTAAAAATAGGTACAAAATGTCCAAGGTAATGTAACGTGTCAGGTAACAGTATGTAGGGGGCAGCATACTGCATGAACAACCAAATAGAAGAAGAAGAAGAGGAGGCGGATTAGACTGACGTTGATAACCCAACCAAACAGGAAAAGTGTGAGCTGAAAGACAGTAACAGCGAAGGCACCGGCTGTCACGGGAGGATTAACCTACCGAGGTACAGAAAAATTAAATCTTCTATTTTTGTTGTATTTATTTTGGCCGATAAAACCCTGAACCAGCCGGGGTACAGAGCTTAGAAGCTAGCCGTTAGCATTTGGCTCCAGTTGATGTTTTAAAGTTCCCTGCTAGCCTCTCAAAGCTGTTTAACTAAAGATTACAAACATATAAATAATACTAAATTATGTCAACAATGTTGCATCAGTATTTTTTTTTAATCTCTCGATTTAAGATAGGTTAATATGAGAAATAGTCGTCTAACCTAAAATTAAAACGTTCAATATAATAAATGCGATTTTGTTTGTTTTTTTACAGTTAAGATCAATTTGTTAAACATGTAAATTGTTTCCAAGTTTCTTTATTTGCTATTCAAGTTAGATTGGTCAAGTTTGCATTATTTTTTTATTTTAAGATAATTTTTCTGACATGAACTAACCGGTTCTTACTCCTTTATGACGCCCTGTGGCTTAAGGATCCAGTTATTACATTGTTGTTTTAAAGTTTTATCTGATTGACATTCCTGTTTCTCTAACCTGACATTGAACAGAATCAATGTGATCTAAATCATCTGAGACACCTACTTAGGATGATGAGGTCTGTAATTTTCATCATAGGTATACTTCTATCATAGTATACCTACTACTTATTCTAAATAGGAGAACTTGCACAATCAGTGGCTGACTAAATACTTTTTGGCACCACTGTATCTTTAAATTGCCATCCATTTTATTTGTTTCTTATATAAAGAAACTAAATTCAAAGTTTGCTTAAGACATCAGCCAATATGAAGGTGTTTAGTTACAGAGGTTGTGTATAGTTTTCAGACTGATACTGATGTATAAATGGTTACTAAAACATTGGGGATTTATGGCCACATAAAAAGATCTGTGTCAAGCTTCTTGGCACTATTCCCTGGATGGAATAAGATTGAAAATTTCAAGATATTAACCCAAGACTTCAGAACAAACATATTAAACATGATACTATTGCTTTATGCTTAATCAGAAAAAAACAAAAGATATATTTTTATCACTAACATTTTGAATCAGATTAGAAATAAATATATTTATAATTAACATATATTTTCCTACTGTCAATTGAAATGTTTACTAATCTTAAATCTTTGGCGGAGGCGGTTTAAACTACTTATTTTTTATATTTTGTTACTTTGGTTTCTTTACCAAAATGCTGTAATATTTAAAACCCAGGATTGTTTTGCCTGTTCCTTTGTCTTCTAAAAGATAAACATTTATCTTTAGCTTCCTTCGGTCAAATGTTGCCATTACTATTGGATGGACGCCACACTTTTGTCAACATAATCTGATTGTGTTTTAGTAATAAGGGGTATCGATGTTTGTGTTTTTTTTAAATCAATGATCAGTTTAATTTACATTTTAATTTTAAAAAAAAAAGAATGTTTTTAATAATGACTCAAAAAGCTTCTATTAGCATCACTGCAAATCCTCCTGAACAGCTGATCGCACTCCCAGGTTTCGACTGCTTTTTTTTTTGCAAACGATTAATTTAAAAGCAGCTCTGATTCTTTGAGATTAAAAGGTCTCTGTGCCATTATCCTAATTTTTATATCTGTCTACGTATTTCAAATTTCCGTTCATATATATATATATATATATATATATATATATATATATATATATATATATATAATTTTTTTTTCTTTTTTTTTAAATCAAATTCTATTTTCAAATTTCAAATTGTCTTTTGGGGATTTTTTTTAATTTTTATTTCTCCTCTATTAGTATCTACTCTTTTTATGTACATAGAAATGTCCTGTTAATATGCCTTTTCTGCTATGGGGTCAAGATCAGTTATAACTATTACACTATTAAAATAAATTTGAAAAATAAATAAAAAACAAAGTTTTAAATGTGCCATACATCTTTTTAGAAGTAATGCTTTTAAGCAGTGATTAATTTTGTATTAATTGTTTTAAAAATGTATTAAAGATAGAGAAGTAAATACAATTTAAGTATTTTCTGGAAGTTCTTTCTCACCCAAGGATAGTGATTCTGCCTAAGTGATCAAAGCCTATTAAAAAAAACATTATCTGAGGACCCCAACTGCAGATAAAAAGTGGTCGCTTCTTCTTCAGTGCTTCATCTGAAATGAGGAATAAAACCCTTTTGTTTGTCTCTCTTGTGCAGACTCTGTTGCCAACATGTTGTCTGAGGGGGGCTCCTTCATAAAGGGGATGCTCATTGGAGGCATCTTCTGCTTGGTGCTGTCGCTGCTGAGTAGTTTCAGCCCTGTCACTGAGTCCAGGACGGAGGAGCACCATCATCATCACGTCAAGGCTGCCAGCAAAGACGAGCTCCAACAGCTTTCTGATGGCAGATTGCAGGAGCTGAACAATCAACTCCAGGTCTATTGTGTCATCATGGTCCAACCCAAAAACTTGCTTTACTGGGCCACAGCTTTGGACACTTGGACCAAGCACTGTGACAAGGCTGCTTTTTACACCTCTGAGTCCTCTAAGGCACTGGAGGCCATCAACCTGAAGGAAAAAGATGACTGGGTCAGGCTGCGGAAAGCTTTGAAGCATGCCTATGAGAATGCCGGAGACATCCGCTGGTTCTTTGTGGCGGAGCCCTCTACCTTTGCAATCATCGAGAACCTCAAGTATCTGGTGCTCACTAAAGATCCAGAACAACCGTTCTACCTGGGGAAGGCCATGAAGTCTGGGGAGCTGGAGTACGTAGAGTTCAACAGCGGCATCGTTCTTAGCTATGAAGCCCTGAGGAGGCTGGTGAACGTATTCCCGGATGAGGGCAAATGTCCAGAAACGGGACGTGCTTTGTGGAAGCTGAGCAATGACAAGCAGCTTGCTGAGTGCCTGAAATTCACAGGAGTGTTCGCAGAGAACGGGGAAGACGTACACGGAAAGGACCTGTTCAACAGCAAGGGCGTGGAAAGCTTGATAAAGGAGAGCATGAACCAGAACCCAAACAACGTGGTGGAGGGCTGCTGCTCCGACATGGCCATCACCTTCAGCGACATGTCCCCGAACCAGATGCAGGTCATGATGTTTGGGGTTTACAGACTTCGACCGTACGGACACGACTTCCACGACCTATTGACGTTTTATCCTCCCAAAGGGTCGGACAATGACTAGTCACACTCAGCCAGGCTAGATCTGTTGTTTTTAAACACTTTGCTTCTGTGATGGCAAACTGGACTTTGGATATTTTTTTTTTTCTGGTGATGTTTCTAAAACGTTTTTCTTAATAAGTTTTATGTACATTTGTAACTTTTGCACTTGAAGCTGTCTGGGCTGTTGACCAGAGCGGATGGATGAGCCGTTCACTGCAGGAGGGGACTGTGGATTTCACCCTAGAGTATCTCAATTTGAATTTCGGTTATTGAAGTTTTGCTCTGCATCTTTTTGTTCTGCATATTGTGTTTTTATTCTAATCCCGGGTTTATTAAAAAATGGTGTTAATGTCATTAATCTGTGGAGTTTTACCAGATAATGATCCGATTTCATGTTACGTCGTCGCAACCTTGATCTTTATGGAGACGGACGTATCAGGGCGTGGTTTGGATGTTATGTTCGATTTTATCATTTATGAGGATTTAGCAGTTAAAAATGTTTCAGGCGACACATTTTCTTATTTCTTCCTGTATTTTAAAGTTGGATGATTTTGCTTTTTGATAATAAAAATGATAGAAATGAATCATCGAAGGAAGTTTTATGATTTATAGCGGCAGAAAAAGAATGTATTTACACGTCTAAATCTGTAGTTTTACACTAAAATGGTAATGTGGACTAACTTCAGTGGGTTGTTTATACAGGATATCTCTACTAGAAAATAAAGATCCCACATTTTATCAGAGACTTGTATGTTTTCATTGTATAACACTGTTGTTTTCTGGGGGTTGGTGGTGAAGTTTATGGTCTGGTGGAGCAGAGGGACGCTGATGGACTGAAGTTTCTGTTGGTAAAGAATTATTAGTAGAGGTCCTTCTCTATAAATTTGACTTATTTCTGAAATTTCATTTTAAAAAAGGGAAACTTTTCCAGGTTTTTACTCCTGTCGCAACTGTCCTTCATACTTTAGGTTTTTCCCCACCTTTCACACAACTGACCAAATAGGGGTCTGCATCATTTTAAGCAGGTTTGCTGGTTTGCAGTGGGCCCTGACGGCCGAAACTAAAAACCACTGGGCTAGATCATTATCGCTTAAAGCCAATGACCAACATTTTTTTTAATAATTGTACTTTTGTAATTTTACTTTTTTTTTTTGTTATTAAAGAAATGATACTTGTCTGATACTAGTGAAAACATGGTGACACACCTTTTGTTTTCATGTTGGGACTTTGGGATTTGGTTAACCCCTCTGGGACACCGTACGAAATATTACAGCTCACACATTCACAGAAAGTCCCAAAGTGTTGCTGGTTATTCAGAGTCATAGAACTGGAAAGTTAAGTGGAGGGAAAACATGTCTGAAAAAGATTAAGCGGCAGCAGGGATAAATCTGTCTGGAGATGTTTGCCAAGTTGCTGAAACCATCCCACTCCTTCTATTAATGAAACCCCTGAGTAATAGCTCATATCAGTATCATATAGTGGCTATGTATGTGTATGGTTGCTCAGTGGTCCAATATCCTATTTTCAGCTCATAGTGAATGTTGCCTTTTTGGAGATTTCAGTCTCGGTGTGAGAAGAATGAAAGGCCATTAATCCACATCACTTGAAATCAACTGATAGTTTAGGGTGCCAGGAATTTTAAGAGCTAACAAGCTTTAGAGGTTTTCATTTTCAGCAGGATTTGGTACCTGCCGCCACTTCCAAAGGTACCAATACCAGCCTTGTTGACCATTGAGTCACAGCTCAGCAGAGTAGATAAAACTCATATCAAGTCTTTTCAAGAGGAGGATGAGAGACACCAGATCCATTAATAAAGGTAAGCTGTAGTTCCCTTTAAGGCCAACCCGGACTAACCTTTCATTTCAGCAGGCGGTCTTCGTGTCGCAACAAGTTTGTATTAAAATAATTTGTGGTCAGATTTAAATCAACAAGAATGCCTTTAATAGAATTCTGTTTGACATCTGACATTTTCACTTTTTGATTTGCTGCGAGACGAGTTACAACACCTAAAGATCATTTTCATTTGTCTTATTGCAATATTCTCTTCATTAAAATAAACTGCTGTAAATGCAGTTAGTAGTTGCTACTTTTATGGAGGATTTGATGCTACCCCTGTGAGTTTTTTGGGTTTTTTTTAAAAACAGGCCAGTTAACACTAGAGATATTTTTAGTGCAGTCCTAAAAGGAAAGTCCAATCATTTCTCTTACACTAAAGAATGCAATAACATCAGCCTAACCAGTCCAACAGCTGCTTGGTGCTCCAGCTCGGCACTCCCTTTACCGAAAATATAATAGGATCCTGCAGTTTGTAACTGACTGGACGTCACACTCTGAAACCCTGCTTCTGATATTTCCAGTTTATCAGGGCTGCAGATATAATTAAACCTAATGTCACGATATACCTATTTACATTTAGTCGCTGTATTATTCAGACATTACTATAAGAAAAATAAAAGCCTCAGAAAAACTCAAGAAAATTTTGATTGTTGTTTGAAGCAGGACCTTTTATTTGTGCATCATTACGGCTGATTTACAGCCTCCAGTAGGTTACAAAGCCAAGTGTGTGGGTGTAAACAGTCGATCTGCTGCTTGCGCCTCCCAGACAATAAAATATCTTTTGTGGCATTCGGGCGGTTCGGTGTAGGTGCTTGACGTCATCATTTGTACGTCTTCATGTGCCACAGGCCGTCGTTCAAATAGTGAACGTTCTCTATTCCAATTCCCTTGTTGACTTTCTCGCTGTTGGTGACACAAAGATAAGAAACTTAGGATCATAAAGTAAAGAGTGATTTGTTTAGTAGATGATTACGAGTCTCACATGTTTTCAGCTGTCATCTTCATTACACCAACACAAAGTGCATGTTGCTTTCCCTCTGCCATAATAGCCTGCATGGACTTGTTAAAGAAAAAGCATGTTGGATATTTTACTGAATTCTTGGAAAGGTTAAAAATGCATGTCGGACAATAGAGAAAGGTGTTTACAATCACAGTGAATAGATATTTTATCATAAATGGCTTGAAGATGCAGCATCATGTATAAAAGGATACAACTACTGTGTCCACGTTAGCAGGGTAGAGTTTGGCACCCGGTGAAGTGAGCCCTGGACACATGATATTCGCTCCACTCAACACAAATTTGATAGCCCCTTTGTCCACTTGCTGATGTGGAAGAATGAAAGGATCTGCAAGCAGAGAAAATGAACTTACAGAAATAGTCACCTACACTGTAGAATAGGAGGGGTATCACGACAGCTTACATTTATGGAGCAGTCTGAGGGTCGGATAGAACGGTCCTTCCCTCTGTCTGAAGAAAAGTAGTTCTCCATTTACTGTCAGGATTTCAATGTGTTCATGGCTGAAACGCATAGAGGGGATAAACTGTAAAGAGATTTAAGGTTTTAAAAGCATCGGTACGACAACGATGGGAAGAAATGAACGATCGTACCATCTCACTATTTTAACAGGGTCCTTTTTTGGCATTATTTGATTGAGCCATGGCTCAATGTCAGGGAACTGTTCCAGCAGCTGATTTTTTATGCCTTTGATCACAGAGGTTTTCAACTGAATGCAATTTGACACATTTTCCTTCTCATCAAATCTGTAAAACAGGAAACGTAATACAGACATTAGGGAAGCATTCACCACTGTTGATCATGGTGTTAATTCATAGTGAATTCAGTCAATCTTCCTGGTTTGGAAGCTGATTAGTTTGCATCTTACTTGATAAAACAGGGACCTATATGTCAGCATTTTACTACATCTGAAGTAATAGAATAGATAGATTCCTCAAGTTTCCCCTCTTGGGGTCGGTCCCATAAAATCATTAAGTCTCATATTTATGCTCTTGTAGCAACAAAATATCCACAATAGCAAAGAAAGAAAGAAAGGGTTAGTATACTAATTTGACAAAATATTAGTTACGTTAGTGGGCAGCTAAAATTGAATGCAGCTGAAATGTAACACAAAGTCACTTAGTTAAAGTAAAACAACTCAAACCCGTTCATTTGAGATTAGCTTCATGCTAGCTGGGCTACACTAAATTGATTATGTTATTATTGTCTCGAAATCTCGCGTAGCATATGGAAACAAGACAATTTAATACCAACAAAATCGATCTCAAATACTAAACATACTCTTTCTACAAGACCAAGTATGCTACTGCTAACTACTTAGCTGTGGCTAGTCCTGTGTGCTGCTAGCTAACGGTACAACACAGACACGTACTTTTTAAACATCCTCTCTGTTCTCCGGTGCTGCGTTCTTCAGCTAGGTCAAAGCTTTTCCCAACGTAAGATATCAAGTCGGGTGAAGCAGCTGAGAAATAAAATCAGTAAATAAAGTTCATTTAACTGTTGCTACTTCAAATTTCCACGCTGCTTTTTAAGGTTGAATGAGATTTGCGAGAATTTACGACAGTTGACTCCGCTCTGGGTAATTCACGTTACCTAGGTGACATAAACTGTCAGCGTTTGAGATGAAGGAAGTTTTCTGCTGCGGTTTCTTTTCGAAATAGCCAAGAACGGCCGCTGAAAAAGATAAAGAAGGCTTCTAATAAGAGAACAAATATGAATTAAAAAGTCAAATCATACTTTATTTAATATAATAATTGACTTTAATCTAAAAGAATGTGCTTATTTTATGGATTATAGCAATACCTATAGGCTTTTAACTTATTTATTTGTACACTGGAGGGGAGGGAAAAAAAAGAAATGTCTTGGAAATTTTTATTAAGCTGAGAGATACGTAAAGCAAATACACCTACATGGCCTTATTTATTTGTCCCCACAAATCAACATACAGCTTTCAATATTAAAAAAAAAACGATTACCTGATTAAAATAACAGAAGAACAGTCTTGGAAATCATAAAATATATTCATGTTGGAGTTGGATGTCTCCTATGCATATGACGCTCACTTCACACTATCCTATTATTACACCTACCCTTACTGACGCACATAACTGCAGTATTGGGCAGTTTTTCCAGTTCTTTTTGTGACTTTCTGCTTGAATGTTCGGTGTAATCTTGGCCTCTCACAGGAAGGTTATCAATGTTTTATGTTATTTTTTTTTTTTTTTTCTATTTCTAGACAATGTCTCTCGGGGCCTTGTAAATGCTGACATCATACTGACGGTCAAGTATGGTGATGGTGGTGTGATGGGACTGCACTGATTTCAGGCATTAAGTAATTTAAAGCCTGTATTCTTTATATAGTTCCTTAAAAAATAATATAACTGGCATGAAGGAGCTATGAGGAGTCCCACAATCCTTTGTATGATACGACATAGCAGCACATCCCACCTCACAGAAATTAACAATACATTAGAACTCAATGATTGCTGAGGAGGCCATACAATCATTTGAACCACATGAGCTGCAACTCAGAAAAATGTAAAGGAAAAAATGCAGGGCATTTATACTTGAGGACCAGGACCTAAATTCAACGTCCAACGCAGAAGTATATTGGAACAGCATCAAGTGATCTTCAGCTTAGAGGAAGGGATTCAGGAAAACCCATCAACACAGTGCAGTTGTTGGAGGACAGAAGGACCCAGACAGAATTAACATCACTGCTGGACAATGTCTCTCAACTGTCAGAGACATACTGCTGATTCCTATACAGACGACTATCCCTCATCTCAGCAGATGTTTGATTTTATACGCTTCCATTAGATGTTTATATGTACACTGTTTGCACTTTTATCATTGTTTGCTCTTTCTGTTGGTCATTTTGTTTAACCGTGCAGTCACCTTTTCTCGTTTTTTTTTTCATATGCTTAATCTCTGTCCGTCTCTGCATTCTTCCATTTGCCATTCACCAATCATAGCATTGCCCCACTATGAGACAATTACAGGTTCAGTTTCTAAAAGTTTACTACAGCTGGGTTCAGTTTCTCTGGTTACAAACCTGATTACTTATATATATAAAATATCTGCCAACATAACTATTCTATTCAATTATCCCTCCTAAAATCCAGCATGATGTATTTTTGTCTTTTAGATATTTTTCAAATGTTAAAAATAATTAGTCTTGTTCTGTTTTGTTTTTCATAGGAATTTAGTTTGAATTGCACTATTTAAATATCTTAAAGTAGCTTACCTAAAAGAGAGGGTTAAATCTACCGCGCTTCTTTGGCGCCATCTTGCGGTAGAAACAAATACAGCAGAGTGGTTAAAATAAAAAACACGCTTGTGCAAAAAGTACTTTTACACAAAGTACTTCCGGTGGGGTCACCGACTAGCCTGTAACGAGTGAAACCATTCTGTCGCAAATTAGCATCTGTTTGACTACCATGTGGGCTTCTTAGCGCTGTACTTTAATAACTTTTATAAATAATTGCGTCAAACGACTGCTTTAGTAAACCGCTCGCGCTGAACTACTTTACGACGCGGTAAGACGACGAAGAGGTAAAAAAAAAAAAAAAGGAGGAAGCAGTAGCCAACCATCTTTATTCTCCTGCCAGCAATAACAAGAAAGGGACGAGGCTCCAGACCCAAAGAAGCGTTGAGTAGTTTCTACTTAATGTTTATATTTTTTAAACTGGATAAACGTTAAATATAAATAAAAACTATCGTTGCGAAGACGGACGGAGGCCCTCGGACACTGAGCTCTTCCCTCGACAAGCCTGGAAGTTTGGGATCAGAAGACTGGCTGTAAAGAATTAGTATTCCCGTTTTTTCATGTTTCCAACAGGTTTATCTTCCCCTAACCCCCCACCACCGCCAACCCAGGAGGCTAGACCCGCGGCTACTGATGTCAAAAGCGACAGTGGGAACATCACATCTCCGAAGAAGAGGAAAATAAACGGCTCTGAGAGGGACGACACGAGTGACACCATCTCCTCCTCCCCTCCAAAGAACATTCATTCCTCCTCTTCCTCCTCCTCCTCCTCTCCGCTCCACATCCAGAAGAAGTTGAGGTTCGAGGATTCGGTAGATTTTATTGGACTAGATGTGAAAATGGCTGAGGAAGCTGCTGCTGCTGCTGGGTCGGGCTCCAATAACAAAAGCAGATCCATGTTTCTGGCCGGTGGCGTGGGGGGACACCACGCGAACGGACTGACCAAAACGGCTGGATCCGGCACCTTCTCCAGCAGCAAACCTGGTGCTGCCAAGAAACTAGTGATCAAGAACTTCAGAGGTACCTGGGAACTAGGAACTGGATTGAACCTGCCAGCCAGGAGCAGATTAAACCACACATATAAGTCCCTGTTGATTATAAACTGGGAATCTATCTTATGTCTTTGCAGCCTTTTAATACAATTCAATTATGATTTTAAATTATTTCAACCAAAGCAGCAAACTATAAATTATTTCAACTTAAGTAGCAAACTAGGCCCTAAACCATGCCTTGATTAGAGTTCAGCCAATCACTTCCAATTTCCTTTAAGGTCTGAATTTCCAATTCTGAGTTTTATTAATTAAAAGCTTTTTTTATTATTATTATAATACCTCAATCCTTTGTGTTTTGGCCCAGCTTTTGATGATACAAAAAAAGTGGCCACAGATGCACCATGGACTAATTTTATGCAGGCAAAAGAAAAAATGTTTCAGGTAAACTCCTTTAGTTTTGTCAGTTTATTTTCTCCTCCGACATGAAAACAGAATAAACATTTTTTGCATGTTTCTCTTGCACTGGTAAAAAAGCCATACACCCACCCAGATGCCCGCTGGTCCTACCATTAACTGCTTATATATAAAAAAAATTATTCACCCAAATGAATCATAACTAACCAAAAACAAAGGAACATGACTAAATAACCAAAAACATAATCTCATAACAGATATCAAACAGTAAAGTAAATAAACTTAGCTAGATTATGCACAAAAAAGAAAAAAAAAACTTTGTTAATTATTAACAAAAGATCATTTGCTCCTACACTTTATTATAATTTACAATTTTATCCCTATAGTAATACTTTTTTTTTTCAAAGAAAAGTCCAATCTGTTGTTTTAACTTTTTGTTATCTCTATGCATATATTTTATATTGTAGCTATGGACAACCAACCTTTTTTAAAGCGAGCTGTATTGAAAAGTAGTTTTATGACTCCTGTAGACATCGTCCTCGTCTAAGGTGGTCGTTCACAGTCATTGTTTTCTGCAGAAGTTAGAACATGTTTGGTAATAACAATTGGCCCAAACGTGGATCAAAACTACACATTATGTAATGTTTATGGATTTCTATGACAGCCTCTGTCATTAATCACACTGCTTAAATATAAATGATTAAAAAACTGACCAGCAATAGTTTCTAAGTAGAAAATGTTTGCCCCAATGAAGTGTATAGGTGTATAATTTAGCAAAGGGTGGAATTAACCCAGACAGAATTGAGTAACGTAGTGCAGCCCTTCCCCCACATGTTGCTTTACACCTGTGGTTACCTTGCTGAGTGTGTGGTGACTTAAGAAGTATCAGATAGTGAGCTACCACTTGACTTGCATTACGTTTTCTTTTCAAGCTTAGTGTAAAAACTCCTGTCATTTCATCGTCTCTGTATGCTGACATGTTCCATTAGGGACCTGTAATAACAGAGGATATAGCTGGACCTCTATCTGGTCTTTATGTAAAATCATTTTGGTTGAAGTAGCAAATTTGCCTTAAAATTGATCTTTGGGGATGAACAATTTAGAAATGTTCAGCCCATTATGGATGTCTAATTTTCTTAAAAGCCTCACTTCCCCATCACCACTTTAAACAGTTCAGCATTCATTTCTATATAAAATCTGGGCATAAAACATCAGTTACTTTGGAAAATCTGATGTTTTGGGGATCTGAGAACTGCTGTGCTCCCAGGATTTAGTGCAGCAAACCCTACAGGGATGGAGATGGATTCTGCTTCAGAGGTTCTGGTTAGTTTATCTACTGCCAGCTCCTCTGTCAAATGAGAAAAGTGGGATATCATGAGGGGAGAGACTGAGATCAGCCAATTTAGCCTTACTCAGCTCTGACTGATTGAACTGAAAAATCTGAATTGTTTTCTTTTTTTTTTTCCAGCTTTATGCAGTGTTTCCTTTTAAGAGAAAAATAATAGATCAGCAGGTCAAAAACAAAAAGAACAATAAAAATAATCCTATTTTTGCCAGATGAAACCTTAAATTATTTATATATATATATAAGGGGAACCATTACTAGGAATTGGTCAGTAAAAGCCAGGTTGGTGCGTCTTAAAAACCAGTTTGGAAGCATGTCTGTGCTCAAACAAAGATGCTTTATAAAAAGTATCGAAACAATAAAATTTTCTAAAAAAATGCTGTAAAATTCACACTGCTTTTATTTCTTAAAATTAATTTTAAATTGGTGCCATCGATCCTTTGTATTGCTGCATCAAAGCCTGCTTTCAAAATTTTATCCTATATTATAGATAAAGGGCTAGATTAAGGATAGGGCAGCATTCCAGGTTTCACAAATCTAATT